TCACAAGATTTACAGAGTCGATGGTTAGCTCGGGTGTAGTTTAGTTTTCCAGATTTATGGTTGTAGTTCTCTGGTTATAAAAGGCTTGTGATACTGCTGTCCTTGGGATGGGACAAAGGTGACAAAAACTAAAGCCAAGCAAAACGAATCTGCAAACTGTAAAAGTTAATTCATTACTGCACTGAAGTCTACACAGCAACACCTTTTTATAGGATGGTTCTGTTTAATAATTGTACTCAAAATTCAATTATCACGATTCTCATATCATCCTTCTTTTCTCACAGCCTCCAGGGAGACTGTAATTCTCATTTAACAACATTGCACAGTAATAACAACACTTTATGGTCCACTCAGTCATCAGCAGTTATTCTCCTTCCCTTTCTAAAACAAAACTCATTTTAACATTAAGTAGACCGAGTCTAAACAAAGATGAAATTGCTATGGACTGAGATGACATAACCAAGCAACACCATTTAAAAAACCCACAAGATGAAAATCTGTTGAAGTGAGACTCTGGGTGCTTTGTCTGCCATCTACTGTTGTCATTAAGACTACTTCTGGATGCTCTCCAACAATGCATCCTGGGTGGGAAAAATACTTTACTATGTCAGAGAGGTGCATTGTATTTACTTTGTATGCACTAATGTAACATGTACATGTGTGATGATGCGTGCAGTTTTGTGTCCATGTGCGTTTTGACTATTTGCTGACTGTGTGTCACATTATTATCATGTTCCTTCACAGGTTGAAAAAAATCAAGACGAGAGACTGGGAGGAACCATTACATGAACCATTTTAAAGTTCTTCAGCTTGTTATGCAAATATTATAGTGAGTAATATAGTATAATATAGTATATAGTACACAGTTTATTTTATTTATGTTCAGTGTAACATTTCTCATGAGTAGCCAGAGCTGTCAAATAAATGTAATAAAATAAAAAGAACATTTCTCTTTGAAATGTGTAACAGTAAACGTATCAGTTCTCCTAAATAGAAAAGGACAAAAAGTACAATACACACTCATTCGGCTCCTGTATCTAAGTATAGTTTTGAAGCACGTTTACATAGCTACTTCAGCATTTCCATATTAGGGTGCTTTATTTCCAATAGTTATAGTTATAGTCACTAGTGACTTCACACGAACATTAACGCATATTAAAGAACACACGACGAGTATGAATATAAGGCCTAATACAGCAGTCAGAAGTAGCACCACCTTGGTTTATGGTAACACTTAAAATATGTTTACACATTAATGCATCAATATTCTCACACTCAGGGGCAATACACTGGGTGCTTCAATACAGAAACAATTAAAAGTACCTCAAAATTGTACTTAGGAGCACATTGCATGTTAAAAACATTTACACTTTGCATTTCTCATAAAACACATTCTGTGTATCTGTAATGGACTTCCTCATAAAGCACTTGCAAAGCGTTTTAGTTGATGCATTGAAACCTGCATTAGTTGCACTACTGTATTTTCCTCATCTTTTTGGCACACTGCTACCTTTTACAACGAACAGCAATGTATATCGACAGATATCCATTACCATCCTCTACAGTCTGCAGAAATGTGTGTATCAAGTCACCACATGCTGATGATGTAAAGTTCATGCTGAATCGGTGATATAAACAATACAGGAATCCTCTCATTAAGCTTCACTACAACACTCTGCCTTTAAACCTACAATAAAATTTTTTGGGCCATTTGCGAGCTACGTAAACAAGCTGTGAAGAAAACATTGACATTTGATCACCTTTTAAGTTGACACGGTGAACTTTTTAGCAACAGTTACTTATTTACACATCCAGCATTTGCAGAGAAATCATTCATTTGGAGTTGTGTTTTAGCCACATGATCAATGTGAGTCCAATATTCCCTCTCTTTTATCTCTGTTTGTGGTCTCTATCCAACTCCTGAGGAAATTTTTTGGTTCTTTAGCTGCTCAGTGCTCTGCTGTGTTCACCAGCTAGTTGCTAACTCTGTCCATGTGTTGCCCCTAGGCTGTGTACAGTGGGCTTTTAGGGCGTTTTCACTGAAAACAGGTGCCTGCTGTGTCCAGAAATTACACTATGAGAGAGCTGAGAGTGAACAATTAACCAAAATTGCAGATACAGGTGATAATTCTCTATAGGTTCAACAAGTGACCCCTTTCACACTGTCAGATTGTCATTTGATACAATTTTGTTTATAAGGCATTTTAAGGAATAGTAAAAAGCAAAGTAAAGCAAATTAGGTCAATTCAATTATTTTCCTCCTCTTGTTCTGTGAATCTGTGCATTTTCACACAGGAGAAAATCGTGATGGTGCAGGACTGTCTGCCACAGACTGAGAACAACAGGAAATGGCAGAATCTGTGCAGACTTTAGGGCGTCAGTCTCCCTGCTTGAGCACACACACTCAGGTACAGGTGTATGTACCTCTAGTCTGGGCACTTAAAACTGCTGATGGTTTGGTGCTCTGAGTGCCCCCATGATAACACACCTCCACCCTTGTAGCCACACACTCACTACCGGTCTGGAGCCATGTTTGAATAATCGATCCCAAGGGTTCAGGAGCCAGGACCACAGGAGAGATGAAGTGAATGGAAGGAGACAGAAATTCTCTTTAGCTCAGTTTAGCACTGATGCATTCACTATCCATTACCCTCAGTCGTCACCTTGTGTTTGCCAGCAGAAAAGAAAGTATTTCCGTGACGCTCCCTGCCTAGATTAATGATTCCTCCAGAGCTGAAGTTGTGTATTTGATCTGAAACCCAATCTCATTGGTGTTTACAGTAACAGCAACAAAGTATGCATATACTGTAGCACTAGAAGATACAGACATGAGCTGTAAAGTGCTACCCCAGAAGTGATGATCTCCAACCTGTCTTCATCAGCAGCAGCAATCAACACGTCCTGCCAGTTTGTGATTACTGCACTCAACTGGGAGCACTAGTCTCTCTCTGTATCTTGATTGGCATCCTAATATGGCTTGTTTATCTGGGGTAAGTGGCCCTGCACATGACCAGCCTGAGCCAGCTAACTAGACCAGTAGAAAGATTAGAGGTGGGCTGCCTTTTTTTTTTCCTTCTCTGGGAGTCATTTGAGCATTCAGAGGCGAAGCTGACTGCCCCCGCTCTCCACAGCAATAACATGTCTCAGACAGCAGCGACATTTCAACCTCCCAAATGTACAGGTGGCATGAAGGAGACAGCCTCTCCATTGCTTTGTAGGAAAAACAAGCATGTAACCTGTCCAGGCCCAAGGCACACGGCTCATCTCAATATTAGATAGATTTGGCTTCTGTGTGTTTTTTGCTTATTCCCAAGACATAAGGCACAGTGACATCTACAGTATCCATGCTGACTTGAGATGACAGAGAGAGTACAGTGAGGTCAGGGCAATTTCATTATGAAGAAATTGGACAGATTTTAAGGAGTCATGCAAACTGTTGTTAACTGTATACCAGTCAGAACTAAATGTCTTGAAGAGCCGCGGCACCCACTTGATATAACAAGATTATAAAAAACAAACATAGTCAAAATATCAGAATATATTATTGTCCATAGTGATGGTATTATCTACCACATCTGTGGTTAAGGTTTGGTTAAGTTTAGGCAATGACCATTTGGTTAACCTTACTTACCATTAAAGAAATTTAAATATCATAGGATTTAATCACTTTATTCTAGAGGATGAGTTAATGGGGTAATGATGATGATAAGCAAGATTTAAAATGTAGGACTGCAACTTTATAAACAGGAATCCCACAATACATGTATGCTCTTACAAAAGACTGAGACAAGAATGTAACATGTATCTCTGCAGACCAGACACATTTTTTTCTTCAACACAGAGCTCTGTAACAACATGTTGCTTCATCATCCACCTGGCAAAGAAAGGATGTGCACTCATACGCCACGCGAGGGCGGCAGTGCACATGTTAAACCACGACAGGCACTTTGGGCAGCATGAGATCATCCATCCATCAATTAGCTGTGCATCGTCTGATAGGCTACTTGAAGGGCGGCGCCAAACCCAGCTGACATTAGCGGTGCATTAGTCTATCCTGGACAGGTCGCCAGGCTGACACATTGAGACAGACAACTATTCACGATCACATTCGTCGTCAATTAACCTAACCTGCATGTCTATGGACAGTGGGTGGAAACCCACACAGGATAACTTGCGAACGCCACACAAGCTGCTGGCTGCCAGATTCGAACCCGAACCACAGTGTTATCCACCACATTAACCACTACATTAAATGATCAGAGCTTAAATAAGGTGGCAACGGTCCTGCACAATATAATATGCATACTAAACAGTCATCCGTTTTCGACCCACGATGCGTTCCAAACCAATGGTCTGCGGACAAGTAGAACTGTTACTGCTAAAATGATCATAATGCCTGCGTATAGTGCCTCATATGTTTCTCTCTACATACATCCTAAACATGTTTGGCTGTCACTGTTAGATATGACAAGATGATAGCTTTTTGGACTCAAGTAGGATAACACATGGCAGATAGTGGGGTTGTCACTGAAAAGAACAAATAAGGCATTCAGTTGTTCTTTCTTATTAACTGTAGTGTTTCCACCCCATTAAACCCCATAATTACTTTTAACCCCACAATGTCATCTGTTTCTTCTATCCGAGAAATGAATTACTTCCCCTTTATGAATGATTTAATAATATTATTAGAATTCATAATATCCGCACAGGGAAAATGTTTCACACAGAGAAAAGTATTGTTTGCTTGTGTTACACTGCCTCAAGAACATCTTGAACTGTATAGGTTATTTTAAATCTCTGCAGTAGGATGTGTGCGGTATGAGTTGACATATGTTTAAATCAGTAACTTAAGCATTGATGTGCCAAACACTGATGGCGAGTGTCCACTCACAGACCAATGATGTCCACCTCTCTCTCTCTCTCTCTCTCTCTCTCTCTCTCTCTCTCACACACACACACACACACACACACACACCCTATATGACATTAGTCTTCCACTTCACTCTGATCTCTCGCTCTCTCCATGCGGTTGACAACGCGCAGCAGTGCGCCGAGCTCCTCCTCTCCTGGTGCGCACCGATCCTTGATTAACGCGTGTAATGCCAAGTCAGACACATCTACAGTAAAGGCGGAAAAATTTACGAAAGTGATGTTTTTTTCGTTTGAGAGGTTGGAAAGGGATAACTTTCTTGTCTCAGGTGTGTACAAGCAGAGTCCAGTTATTTTACCACTTTAGGGACAAAGACGAAAATTGACACATGGTCTGAAACGAACGTTTTTGTGACCTTACATGCAACACTAAAAACATGGATCTCTATGCGCAAAATGAGACATCTACGTCCCTGGAGTGCGTCGGAGCGCAGACTGATGCGCTACAGACCGGAGCCAGTAACGGGAGCTTGGAGACATCAAACATCACCTGCGGCAACGTTTCCACACTCCTCATACCTCAGCGTGTGAAGGAAAGAGGTGAGCAGACACGCAGATAACTCAACATGTATCACCTGGAGGTTAATTAACAGGTGCAACTATGACCTCATTTTGTGTCTTTCACAAATTAATTAATTAATTAATTGTGAAGCACTTTGTGACGTCTGCTATGGAAAGGTGCTACGGATGTGTAACTATTCCTGCAGGTGATCATAATTGAGACAAAACTAAATTATTGTAGCTTTCTTTTGAAAAACCCCTCAGTTTAGTGTTGGGTTGTTGCGTAATGAAGGTTTACTGAGATATGTTAGGCTGACAGGCAGATTATCTCTGAGTTGAAAGGAGTGTTTAGATAATTGCAGCCAAAATAAAAAATTGGCTTGTTGGTTCACAATTAAACATTCTACTTTTTTCTACATTCTAACATTGTAGTTAATAAAAACTATTGGTCTACTGTAGCTTTATGAGGTCCATAAACTTACTAAAACAGCAACAGTAAATACATTTGACACATTTGCAATCAGTGTTCATGCAGAGCAGAATAGGCCTTAGTAGCTTAATTCACTGATATCTTGATGTGCCAGGCTGTCTTTTCAAAGTAAAGCTGTGTTATGTTCCATTTTGCTGTAAGGAGAAAGCAATGTAAATATACTGAAACAGGGATGAGAGAGAGAGACAGACAGAGAGAGTCACAGTCAGGAATCAAATCCTGGCCACACAGGGGATTTATTCATAAAAAATATGATGCTGCATGGCATGCTCTGTTTCTATTTTCCAAGCATTTCCGAGCACTAAAATTAAAAGCGTATGACGATCTTTCTGCGTGTTGTACGTTGTACATATTGTAAAACCCTCTGAGGCAAACTTGTGATTGTGGGCTATATTAATAAAGCGAACACAAGCTTATGAACAAGAAAGAACATTAACGTGCGTCACCGCTCTTGCATTTTCCTCTCAGTCCCATCTCCACCTGCTATTTTATCAATCAACTCTTACTATTTTCATCCATCTCCATCCCTTAATGGCTGTTTGTCAGTGTTTCCATGTGTTGATGAGTTGTGCGTGTGTGTGGGGGGGCTACATGTGTGTAAAAGACATTGTAGAGATTGAGCACTTTCATTATGCTGCTGAGTGTTGACAGCTCAACATCATAAGAAAAATATATTAGCCTTTTAACTGTTGATTCACGCTGTATTATGTTCTGAATGATTTCACTGTCCCTCATTCCAACGATAACCTCACATTACACCTGCCAGTGATGAATAATTTCGAGCACCCAGTCATGTGTACTGAGCTAAATCAGTACCTTGTAAATTACAGATCCACTGAGGACATGTCTGGCAAGATATGTACGGATCAAGACCTCTGTGTCTTGTGTCTGGTGAGAACTGCCGCAGCAGAGGTCAGTTGGGAGCTTAATCCTTTTTAATACTTAACTATTAAGTTATTTCCACCCACAGACTGGTTCACTCATAGATTATCACTTCTTTTTCAGTTTGCCTTTTTTACGGCTTCATTTGTCTCTATTTAGCATTCCTGCTGTATCTTCTAACAGGGCCACACACCCACATTCATAAGTGGAAAGAATTAGGATGTCTGACCGTTTACAGCTGCTGTCACCATCATTATTCACTCTGTCACTCCGGAATTTGATTACTTCTTCACCACGGTCACTCACTCTCTGTCACTCTGTCCATAATGTTTAGTGTTTATGGAGCAGACTGAGTTGTGTCACTGTCAGATTCCCACTCGGTCACGCTGCATTTTTTCCACAGACCAGGGAAGTCAAAGCAAGTCACATGGATCACACACTCAGACATATAGTCTGCAGGTTTTCATTCTCACCAAAGGGATTTCACAAATTAATTATTTCTTTCTGGATGACATCTTTTGTAATCAGTAAAATCAGCTGGGGGTCATGCTCAGACTTGCTGAAACCAACAAGTCCACCAAACAACAAAATATGTCGCTTGAGTGTTTTCTGATCTAACATCTCTCTCGGCAGGATGATATAATTTCTTTGCGCCCTTCAAAACTGTTACAAATCAGCAGTGACATCACAACAAGGTGGTTACGGTTTGGTTGAGTTTAGGCACAAAAACGACTTGGTTCGGTTTAGGCAGAGATCATGGTTTGGGTTAAAGTACTCCTACAAGGTTACAATAACTTTGTTGTCATGGTTACAATATCAATCATGTGTTTAAGGTTATGGAATGTGGTCATGCTTAAAAATAAATAACATTTGTAGGAAATTAATTGCACTCGTCCTCGTTAAAGTTTGACAAAACCCAGTTGTTGACTTTGTCGCTCTTTAATAACGTCATCTGACTTCCGCCTTTACTCACAGTGAATTAGAGTAGCTAATAATTACCACGGCCGATGGAGGGCTTTGCTACTTTTGAGAGTGCTTGCGGAAACAACTGATGCTGTTTTAATTGGGAGGACAGATGCAGAAACGCATTTCATAAAATCTTCTGTGGTTCTGGAGGAGTTTTGTGTTGGAGTAAATAACCTTGAAGATTTTACGAGGCTTAGGGTCTGAGACTCCAATTTGTTAAAGAAAGTGGTGACGTGGCGTTTGAGCGTAAAAAACATTCTTTTTTTAATATCTCTGGAGCACGTCCGCCATTTCAACGGAAGTGCAGCACTGAATGGCAGGATATCACCTAACTAGACCAGTGGAATGGATGGATATCTCTGTGAAACATTTCAGTGTTTAAATATGTCATTGCTTTGTGGGATTTACACCATTCATACTGGCATTGTCCCCTGACACACAAACCAAACAGGAGCAAACACATCTTTAAGCGAGGAAAAAAGTTGCCCACCACTGAGATGAAACACTTCGTTCAACCACAAACACCTTTCTGAATGTTTTTACATTGCAACTCAGGTATTATTTTTGATTTTGAACAGAAGCCTGCAGAAGGGCTTCATGGGACATGGTTGCACTGCTGTAGAATTAATATTAAGGTAACACTTTGTAAAACGGTATATAAAATTGTAGGTTGTTACTAAGGAACGAGTGAGGAACCAATCAATTGCTAATAAGAAGTGAGTATCTCCAAACAGAGGACTATAGTAGATAATGATCAACTGACTGGGAGATAATGAATCATCAGCTAATGATCACTTGATAAATATCTTTTAATTGAAATACTGGCCACTTTCTTCATTAGTCATTCCTGATTAACTCTGAACCAGCTGCTGAACGGAAAGATATTAATGACACATTACTTAATCATTAGTTACTCTTTCCTCAAGTAAAATGATACATCCCTTATTACATCATGATTATGACAAGTACCTACACAGTTTTTACTGATGAATTTCATGAATTTTATCTGTCATGATTACTGCAAAAGACACAGGTGAATTACTTTATATTTATACAGTGACAATAAAGTGTCAAATATACTGGCTGATTGTAGTGCAATTCATCAAACAGTGGGAGGTCATCTTTTGTTAATGACGACAACAAAGGAAGGGTTATCAGTCACTGCCAGGAATAAATACACTAGTTCAATGCCTGAACACAAAGCGGTTTATTCCTCACAAAAGGCATTTAGACTAAATAAATAAATAAATAATATCCTCCTGTGCTTTTCATTTCCCTCTTCTCTCCCGCCACTTCTCCTGTTTTGAGTGTATTTCTCTATCTCCCTCACTCACACTCTCTCATCCCACTGCCTGTTGAGAGCTGAGGTGTTTAATACATGCCTGCACTGTGTGCCAAGCAACCAACATGTTGTTTTGTGGTCCGACCGCTGTGACCAGGGGGCTCTGCAGCGGCTTGTGTTGTTGTCTGTCAACAGAAAGTGGATTCATTCGGTGCCTCCATCAACTGTTCTGGGTTGCAGTTGGCTTAGTGACAAAGCTTAGATGACATTTACAATGCTGGATTAGCCACTAGCTGTGACATTTACCAATAACCCGGTCTTACAGGAGCAGAGCTGGCTTTTCCCTGATAGGTGCAGTGATACATGGGCGAACTGGGATAGAAAGACACACATGCTGCATATGTATTAGACAGAGGTGGAGAGTAATTCATAGTCAGTATCTGATATACTGAATGAGAAAAACAGATGAAACCTTAAATATTCATGGCTGGAATACGAACCTCATTATTAATTCATCCACTATTTCACTATATCTCATAATGACTTTTTCACTTGACTTATTTAGCAGTTAGTTAGCAGTGAATCTTTTCACCTGCTTTTCACATCTGACCCTTAAATTGCTGGTAACAACGTTCCTATTGATGTCACACAAAAGGTGGAAAAGTTTTTATGAAAATTGCTTTTGCACAATTGAACTAAACTGTGTAAAATGTTTGAGTGCACAAGCGTGTCCGTATAGCAGATATGTATGTATGTGCTGTATGTACAGGTAATGAACTCTAATAAGATATAAACTGGAGCAGTATATGCAGACCTGTCAAGATTTTTTCAGATACACTAACTGCAAGTAGAAAACCTCTGGAAGCTGCAACAAAGTAATTTCCCCGCAACCTGCACACCTATTCACAGTGCCTCTAGTCGCTGAGTCTAAAAAGAGAGCAGACTGTGTGACAGAGCAAATGGTCAGACATGACTTATGAGCACTGCACACACACACATCTCCAGTGCTACAGGCTTCTTTTCTGTCATTTAGTTCTTTAAACTGAAAACAGTGCTCCAAATAATTGGCGGAGCAGAGTACATAGCAAACATCGCCAAAATTTGTAGCAGTATAGTAGCTTCAATGTTTCATATATTGCATCTAGTATTTTACTGTAACAGAACAATTTAAGCCCACATTAAGCCTTTAGTTTCATTGTGGTGAGGTTTAGAGGTTTGGGCTGGCAGAAACAGCACCAATGGGGTAATTAGACTGAAATGGTGTGGCAGAAATAAAAAAAAGAGATGTAAGAGTTGGCCCTGCACCAGCAGTTCAGCTACTGATATCATGAACGTAATCACAGTTTAAAAACTTTATGTGTAAATGTTTAGTTCAACACTAAAATCCATCAGCCTCCAGACAAACAAATCAGATTTACC